AAGATCTTTACATTTTCTTAATTACACTCACAAAAATCTAAAATGAATCACTTTTTTTCTTCATTTAACATTAACCATAATTTCAATCCTTTGATAAATATGTCCACATAAAATTGTGATGAAAGGTTGAAGTGAGGCAATTCTAAAAACAAAAAACAAAAGAAGGAATTTTAAAACTGTTACATGGCTCATAGTTTTCTCTCCCATGACTAAAACATTACTTTAAAAAGCATTTAATTTAGTTTGGATGGTTTTTGATAGGCTTGTGCTTTTTGCTATGCATTTTAATGTTATTTTCTACAGCTTACTACAGTAGATATAACTTCTTGAAGGACCGCCATTGCAGCAATACTATCTTTGGTATTAGGTAATTTGGTAAACATATTTATGAGTTTTCGGGTGACCTATAGTTAGATGAGAAATCCAGAATTGTAGCCTCTACTGTTTTTCTATAAGGTAAAAGTCAAGACAGGAAAGCCAAGATTCTCCACACCAAACATTAAACATATATCCAGCCATGGAAGTGATTAGAACATCTGTATTTATTTGCTTGTGTGACTCAATACTTTTGGTAATATTGTGTATTTTATAGTATAGGTATAACAAAAAAGCCCATTGTATCAGTTATGTACCAATTAAATGTAAATATGAGGCTTTGTCCCCCTCCCTCCCCTGAAGACATCTGAAGCTGCCTTGTTGGTCAGATGACAAACTGTTATATCTGTCAAGGAAATTGACCCCTGGCTTCATGGACTTACTTTGCTCACACTCTGCCCAGATATGATATACGCACCTCTCATCCTTCTCAACGTTCCTGCAAGATGTCGTGTCATCTGTGTTGGCCAGCTGAGGATAAAATAGAATATTTATTTACTCCCTTCACCTATTATGATCCCTTTCTTTTTGTTTTTCTTACTATAATGGCAGCACCTTTTTATGGCAGGAAGGCCTCAGACACACTGTCCTCCCGTGTCTGTAGTATATTGTTGGTATGTTTTTGTCTTTTCTTTGATGGGCCGTACAGAAAAATAAATTTCGCCCTACTGGAGTGCCACTCAAGGGTGACAAATAAAGAAATCTTTAAACTTATCTAGATTTACTGTAAAATGCACTTTAAGTTTCCTGTATGTAATATTTAAAATATTAATATTATTATAGTAATATTTAAATTAATATTTTAAATTATAAAAAAATTTCTTTAACCAGCATTTCGTTTGGAAAACTGTAACATGCGTTCGGAAAAAATGAACAAATTTCATTTACAAACAATAAGAATCATGATCAAATCATGATAACACAACATAAAGAGGCTATAAGAAATTAATTGTGATCATGTTATTTGAGCCAGGAAACTAAATTCTTCCAATCCTGAAACAAATGAAAACCTTTTAGGTTAAGAGTTGTAAAACGGGTGTTGTGGTTATCCAGATGTGATAAGATTACATCATGTGTGCTGGTCTCTGTCTTCAAAGTTCATGATACTGACGTCCTAGAAAATAGATTACAATAAAATCAGATAACAGTTCATTCCAACACGTTCAACATGATTCAACCAGAACCATCTGGTAGCAAAGGGGAGTGAAATAAGGCATTTCACAATATCTTTGGCTCACTGCTTGGGTGCTGTGGAGACCTGTATAAATAAGCTAATGGAGAACTAAAACAGAAGATTTACAGTAGGTTACAGGCTGTACTTTTCAGGATACGTTTCACTGCTATGAATGCCATCTAAGTTCAAGGAGCAAAATGTCTCGGCAGAATGGCAATGCAGGATTAGCAGGTTAGTAAAACGTTCCAAAAATGTAAGCTTTGTGTCTTTATCTCTCCCAAGGGGCAAGAAAACTTTAAGGTTTAGACTAACTGAGAAAAAAAAACATGTATTATTATATGTTATTATTATATGTTATGCATTTATTCAGATTTGATTGGCTGGATTCCCTGACTCTGTGGCTTCTTCTCATTCCTTATTTTTCCACAACTCTGTTGTTTATATCTCTGATCCCAAAATCTTTTATCTTCACCACATATAATAACATAATTTCCCTCATTTTCGCTCTTTTCTTCTGTTGCACGTTCAGTGGCCTCCTTCACCTGTGACCCTCCAGGTCTCCTGATGATTCATCTTTCCTCAAATCTCAGTCTTTTTTAGCTTTTTATCTGAAATGAAGAAATTAAAACTTTTAAATACACTTATCATTGTGATAATGTTGAATGACCCCAAATCAGTTCCTGATTTAGAATTTTTCGTTATTATAACATGACATACAGTTACCACATCACCGTTCGATTGGGTATAAAAAGTTGAGCCGGTTTGCCTCCATTTTTGCTTCTTCTATTGTCCAACCAATGTTGAGAGAATTATGACCACTGGATGTAATTTTTGGTGTTTCTACCTGATCACTTAAGTTGAGGTATAACTCACAGTGGATGTGGAATAACACTTCTTTTTTTTGGATCCCTGTTTGGATTTATTAATATTTTTTACTGGATTATCGGATGGCTCCTTTGGGTTGGACTTTTAGGCTTGGTTCCTACTACGGTAAGTACAACCTCCTCGTGAAAGTTGGACTTATCATATAATATTTACATGGTAACTGAGAACTGTGAGTTAACCAATCCTAACCTCCATCACTAAGAAAAAGGCAATATTTTTTTCCCCTTTGTTCAGGACTCAGAGACATCATTACATCTGGAATACAAGTTGTCTGCTCCAAAGCCTAAACTTGGAAAGTCTCTGCTTCAGTAGTCAGCTTAGTTTAGATTAGGATGTTTTATTGATTTATCTTGATTAATAGTTGTATTACATGCCGATGCTGCTTATAACCTGCTATTAATAAAGCATAATAAAATGTTGATTGATGTGTAGACATTGAGTTTATGAGTGACCAATTTTTATAATGAGATCTACATGGTGTAAAGCAAACAGGTGTAGGGTGACAGAATAAGAAGAATAGAACTCATTTAAAGCTTGATAAAACAGCATCCTAGTGACTGTTCAGTTGCAAAAACTTTGACCAACTTCCAAAAGAGGTTTTATGAGAAAAGAAGGCTCTTAATGAACTGGAGAGACAATCAGGAAGGGTTGTATCATGGCTGCTAACACACATGACTTGTTCAATGGAATAGGATGTGTTTTGGTGAAGCAGACAGCTAAATGGTCAACATATTCTTATCGCCCAACCAGGTGGATTTCATTGGTTCCTATCTGTGGTCATTCTCAATAGCTCTACACCAGGAGGGCAGTTTCCCTTCATTCTTAATTATTTGATGTTTGTGACACCTAGAAATGCCTTCTGGTTGGATACAAGACTTTTCTACCAAGTCGTAGAATAAACACCAGAATGATAGCACCTGTCTAATGCTTTTGGTTATATCGTAAATGCTTACAAATTACTTTTTTAGACATCTGTACAACTGTACACATCTGTAGTTTTTTTTCTCTTTTGTCAGACCAGTAACCTTTAAAGAAAGTGATGGAATGTGAGACAGCCTGTCTTGCAATGTGAACAATTGATTTTTTTAAAATAATGACTATTTCTCATTTGTGTTATTCCTTAATGTGTGACATCTTCTACTGTACCTTACTAGCATTGTTGACAGGAAAACATGAAAAATCACATATTTTGAAATGTGTAGCTCATTCACTGCAAAAATCAATCAGTTTTAATACACTGCATCCATTGGTAATTAATAATTTTCTTCTTTTTGTATGTTTTTTAGGGGCAAAGAACAACAGACACACTAGTGGAGCTAAAGCAGCTGGAGGCTGAACCCTAGTAGTATTTAAGGATCAATTATTTGACTCATATAAAAGAAAGGTGAGGTTCTGCTAAGAGATAATAATAGTATTATTATTTAAAAAATAAACAATATTAATACAAAATATTTAAAGTGCATATAAATAGGCAGCCTATGTCAAAGAGATACAAAAAAGTAAAAATTTAATAAAATATAACAGACTTAAATACACAAGATACAAAATCATATAAACCTTTGGAAATTTGTCTTTGTTTGATGACCTGCTATATTTACTTCATTACACGATCTAAAGAAAAAAATTTGGTTTAAGAGATTTGGTTTAAGTATGACAAAATTTCCCAGTGATTTGTGTGCTTATTCCGCATGCTTGAGATTTCACATCACTTAAAAAAAAAAAAAAAAAGTCAATTACCTTCTTGCATGTGGCAGACAGTTTCCCTACCCAATACTGACTACCGGTACTCTGTAAGGATGATTTTTGAACAAATGAGTCTAACTTCAGTCATGTCTAAGACAAATTCAAAGATTTTTAGCACAATCCTATCTCATAGTTTAAACTTCCATTCTGTTCGTTAGGGCATACCTTTCACAGTTGTTTATGTTTTGTGTTGAAAGCCATTGGCAGATTGTGAATTTGTATGAAGTCTTTTTCCAGGTTGGATTTGAAGTGAAGAAGTGTTTGCCGAACCAACCATTGTAAACTAGTTCACTAAAGATGTCACATCCCCATTTGCCTTCAATCACAAGCATGGCCAGACTTTTGTCATGGGTAAAGACTTGGTCACTGAAGTCTCCAATCACTTTCACACATGTCTTGAAAAGGCTTTTGAAGTTTACACATAACATCTGGCTAAATGTGACTCAAACCTTTGCACTGAAGTGTGTAAACGTGGTAATTACCAACATGCCTCAACACATAGTTTAGATTTAAGTTACCTGTGAAGTATTCTAGAGTTGATATTAGAACACTATGCAGCTGCTATTAGCAGTGAATGTTCTTCATTCTTTAACTTTTTTAGCCAAGTATATATCGCCCTGCACATATATGGAAATATCAGAGGAAGGACACATTAAATGTCTCAACTTACTGGCCAAAAAAGCCTCATGCAGGTGTTCAGCTTATTAATGTAGTATGTCTTATCTTAGTGCTAAAAGCAAAAGTTTAGAAGAGAATATCCCCCTTAATTAATGGCTTATTGGGGTGGTCTTTATTCTAGCCCTCATCAAGAAATAAATGAGCAAGGGGTTAGCTTTTTATTTAAAAACAATCAACTTTAATTGTGTTAAACATCATGCAAGTTGGTAGAATGCATGGTAAAAATACACTTAAATAAAACATAAATACATATTTAGATTCCCTCTGAGACCCATCAACCACCTCACAAAGGTCGTTACACAACAATGAAAAAAGTTGGGTTTTTTTTATTACTACAGGTACACTCACTTTAAATGCTGACTTTTGTAATAGTTTTCTCTGTAGAATTACATCAACTTAAAAGTAAAAAACTCCAAAGTAAACTGGCTTGTTTTAAACTTAAAAATAAATGTAATTTAATAACTGTGACTATGCATGAGGAGGTCAACTGCCAAACACACACACACATATAAACAGTGAAGCAATAAGACCACTTGCAGAGTCAAGAAAGTGTTCAAATTACACTACATTTACAATAAAATATTACCACACTTTATGCAGCAAGGTGGGAAACGAAATCAAAGTAAAGACCGAATACAAAAATAGTTTGTTTTACACCATCAACCAACTGCAATGAAAGGATTAATGTTCTACGAATGTAAATATGGGTTTATTAATGTCAGTAACTGTAAAAGTTCTGTGTCAAAGCCAAGCTAAGTTAATGCTGATTTCATACATACTTAAACAAAATTTAAGGAATACCTACTGAAGCTCATATCGATTTTTTTAAACAAAGTCTTAAAGCTAGCACATTATTTGACTTCTACTAACCAGATATTAATATAAATTGATATTCTGAAAATTATTCAGGTTAATAAAATCTAAGATTTTAGAAGTTTTAAATACAGCTGAATTAAATGCACATAGTACCTTTTTAACTTCGTCCTTTGTTCTTCATTGAACCTTTCACATAGTATATTATTATAATGAAAAATCATGCACATAATTAGTACAGCATTCTGCATATATTTACATAAACATGATATTTTTTGCTTTTATACTATGGAGTTTTGCAGGGATTTGTGCTTGGGCAAATAGTTTTATGAATAATTAAACAAAGTAAATTTTTACTTGTATTTCATGTTGCCTTAATTTGTGTATTATAATAATGAAACCATCAAATGTTTTTTTTTAAGGCTCATACCTAAAAGGTTGAATAGATCTAACTTTCTTTTTTACTCGTTTTCCTGTAAACAATATAAACATTTATTTTTTGCAAACTGTAGCTGATGAGAGCCAAAAATAAAAAGAAAATTTTCAGAATTTTACAAGACATTAACTAAAAATAATATTATTGGTTTAAAGTAAGTGTTTAACCTTCCCTTTCCAAGTCACTTTTTTCATCAAATTGAAGGCTTATTATTTCCATTCTCAAGCCATCTATCAAATTAATATATCTTCTATGTCTGCTATTCCACTTAAAACCTAAATGTACTTTACAGTTGTGGATCTATGTATTCGCTTTAAGTTATAACAAAAGTAAAATTTTTAAATGACAGATATACATTAAAGAAATTAGCTAATTTGATATTTAAAAATACAACTTTCAATTAGTTATTTACAAGATAGAAAGCATATAAAAATCTGACTATTACATTTGATGACAGTAACTTTTTCTTGTATTGTCTCAAAAGAAAAAGGATAGGTTATTTGTTTTTCTACCTATATACGAGTCTTTTCTAGAGTGAAAGTTTGTTAAGAAAAAAATCTTATGAAGACATTATCTGCATAAAATGCTTCAAAATACAAAAATTAATGATACTAGAGGCTTAAAAATACTACTAAGAGTTTGGCATTGAAATTATTGTGGTGAATATCATGAGATATTTTGTGATCCTTGGGTATAAAAACTTAAAGGTATTTAAATAGTAGTGGCTCTAATGTGAAATGCCATATAGCAACATGACACAATATTCAGTTGGGAAGCTTTGTGTCACACCCAACTAAACAATGGATCAGATTGGATGCAAAACATATAGCACTAGTATTCAAGTAGCTGAATGCAAATGAACAATGGCCTTCTTAATCAACCACTTCAAAAACGTAAAATAACGGACTGTCTTAAACCTCTGTCTATGGGTCTTACATATGATCTGTGTCCTTGTAAAGCATCAAAGACAGGTCCAAAGTTGAGGGTCAATTGCAACCTACAGGTTGCAATTGACCATCATGTCTGTGCCAGGCAGCAGGGTACTTCTGTGAAGGTCCTGAGTCGAATTTGTCACATCCGCTTTTGGCTGCACATCCACAGTGTTCACTAACTTCAGCTATAGTTTGTCTTTGTGTGTATGTTCTGAGATTTTACAGTTTTTACCCCCCAAAAAAATTGAAACAGAGAACTTTCCATCTTTCAGTCAGTATGTTGAGGTTTCTGATCTTAATCTGTGGTTCAAAGAAAGGTTCAGTCCACAGCAATAAAAGTCTTTAATCCATTGAACCATCAGCAGTCGTTTCGCAGAAGGCTTGCGTTAGTTTAGATTATACATTCAGTGTTGCAGTTGACTGAAAATTCAGTTCATGTGTGAGGAGGATGTGATCATTATATGGAAAAGCTGACTCCGTGATTAGATTATGTGAAATTAATGTGAAAGTGGTGCAGGAGTGTTTAAGAGATGTATCAAAATACATCAACAAAGGATAGAAGCACATGAAACAAGATGGTACCCAAATGAAACAAACATTTTGTACAATAATTTTTCTCAGGGAAAAGCAATGCTTGGTAAATCTCAATAAACAAACCAACCTGATCACTCGAACATAAGCATCTTGTTGATGTTTAAGTCGACTGACAGCCATGTCCAAGTCCTTCACGTAACCTTGCATGCCTCGATCAAATACTCAAATGAATAAGTTTAGATATTTTGCTTGGTTTTTCCCTTAAAATTTAAACATTCAATTTATTTTATTGGACAAAAAAAATCCTCCAAATTCTCATAATTTTACTGATTGTAGCAGTCTTCTCGTTGGCTTCCAAAGCCATCCTAAACCAGGCTTAGAAGCTGGATCTATTTTCCACCTTTATTGCAATCCATTAACATTTAGAATGTCTTTTGTTACTCTTCCTGTCCTCTCAGATCTCGTGGCGTCCGGTTGCGTTCTCCAGAACCCTTGCTGCGTGCCTTCCTGGCACTCTCCTGTGCTTGGCGGTATTTCTCCAGCATACTCTTGTGTTTCCTCCGGAGCTTGTCGTTGCACCACATTCTCTCACAGTACTCCTCAACATGAGGTAGATTTGATGGACCAATGAGCTGCATGATGTCCTTGAACCATGTGCGAGACTGGCTGATTTGACCCCTGCTGTAAGTGCTGCAAGGCATCCAGGGTCTGTGGCTTCCTGGAGACCGGTCTTTGAGCATGTCCGATATGCCTTGGCCGTCCCGCGCTATAAGCTCATCCACGCTGTCCCCCTGGAGGACCTGAAGGGTGATGCGGGCCAAGCTTTGTGTAAAGCCATGCTCCCGAGAGCGGCAGATGTACACACCTTCATCCTGACGAAAGAGGCGGCGAAACAGCAGACCCTGATCTGTTGACATAACACGATCATCCAGTTTCACCTAAAGGAGACAGAGAGATAATATTTGTACCTAGATGAAACATTTATACATTGAAGTTGATTGAACTTTAGATGCACAAAGAGAAAACCCTTTGTAAAACCATGTTGTTTGATGCCAGTGTGTTTTTACTAGGTTTTTTAAATGCTTTACTAGAGGGGAAAAGGACTGCTTGGACACAATATTTGATAGGATGTAATCATTCAATGCCAAACATTTATGCTCTATACCAGGAATGCCCAAAGTTGATCCTTGAATGCAGTTGTGCTGTAGGCTCCAGTTAAGCTGATTTTCATTGATAGTTGATTAACAGGCTTTCGCTGAACTGCAATCATCAAAATCAGCTGTGCTAAAGCAGGGAAACCTCTAAAACCTGAAGGACAGCGGGGATCAAGGACCGATTTTGGGCAAGCCTGCTCTATACAAACAAATATATGAAGGTTTTTGGAAGGTCTCCCATTGCCCCTAAAATCCACCACTGATGTGCTTTTTACTTATTTATTTGCTGAGATACAAACAATTCTGCATGCAAAATTTAAAACACTAAAATACCAAGGTTTCTCAAATGCGCATTGCTTTTAAGTTATAGCCAAGTTGCCTTCACAATAGAAGAAACCCATATCAAACCAGCTGCTTCTAAATGCACACTTTTAAGCCAAGTGGAACATTTCTCATTAAAATATGCTGTGATCCCTACAAAAAGTTCAAGTTGAAGGCCTGCCAATCTTGCACAATGTTTACTTTGTTCAAGAACTAACAGAAGCGAGAAAAAAAAAGCAGGCATCATTTGACAAGTGTCACTTGAAGCTAACATATGAAAAGGTTTGCGTTACAATGCAGGTACAAAGTCACACTCTTGAGCAGAGAAAAGAGAAAATCTGTTTTATGGTATGACAACAGAATGGGTGTCTAGAGTCTACTGAAATTATTTTATCAGCACAACCTGTGGTAATTCCTGAGGTTTGTCCCTTGTTGTTTTATCCTAGTGTCTCTTTATTTCTTGCATATAAAGTCTTACTCTCTCTGCTTCCTGTACATATTCCATGCTTCCTACCTCCCACATTTTCATATTTTATCCTTTAATTTCTCCAGCAACACCCAGACGCCAACCCAAACATGTAACCTTGTCAGCTAGTGGCAGCCAAATGTTTATTTACAAGGAATCTGAGAGGTGTGGTAATGCCTTAAAACTTGACTCAGACATTTCCTTGTGTTCAGCAAAACAGAACCTCAGATGAACAATCTCTGTGGGTGTGCATGCACACAGCAACGTTGCTTTCTAAATACAGGCTTAGAGGTCTTTACTGCTTTGTGTTTAAGTCATGGTGGCCAGTAGACATTTAAGTGACATTTGATCTGTTGGCACCATGTGGCAGTGGAGGAGTGGAGCTTTTAAGGGAATTCACTGTTTATTCAATAGACGAGGCAACTGAGCATTTTGCTTTGAAATATAACTGCTTAATTTGTAGCATATGTCTAATGACTGTCAAATGTGTCAGCCGTACGCTGCCAAAAAGACTAATTTCACTTTTATAGGCAGTCTGTCAAAGGTATCCCGCCTCCCTTCAACACTTTTTTTCTTCACCATCATCACACATGCAGTTCATTATAACACAGCTGATATGGTATTTTTATATGATTATTATTATGATTATTTGTAGACATCATCTCACCTCTTCCTTGCGGTCGTTGCGTTGGACAAGCCAGGTGATGGAAGCTTGCGGCGAGCGAGGGATACATTCTAGAAAGGTGCTGTTTTTTTCTGTTCCATATACGACTTTATCTTCAGTCACATCCAGGTCTCCTTAATGAAGGAAAATGGAGAAGACAGAGAAGTGAGAGACAATCACAAAGAAAGATAGAAATACAAAATTTTAGCTTAATTATGAAGAACTAAACTACAAATAATACATTTTTCTTTACAGTTGATTTTGCTCACATCATAGCCATCTTGCTTTATGATGGAGTATTTAAAAACATAATATTTTAGTCTTGAAATAATAAAATAGAAGAACATTGATCACTGTGACATCTTTCCAGCTTTAAGCTGCTCCTGTTCTGAATAATGAATGTGTATTAGGATCAAAAGTGAGGAATTTCCAGTGTTCACTTGTGTCCTGAATGCCTCTTTATGTTCTGACTGTTTTAATGTTTAATGTTTCTGTTCAATGAGATAATACTCTGAATATTATTACTATAGTTATTTGAGTTAATCAGAAAGTAGGTCAGGTACATTTTGGTCTTTTAAGCTGCAGTGCTTACTCTATGAGGCAACGTTTTTTCAGCAGGCTACCAAAAAAATCCATTAGACCCTAGCTTATGTGGTAAACACAGTTTAATTCCTTTAACTTTGGTTAATTCCTAATAAGGAGGTGTCAGAATGTTATTTTCCTATGACATTGTCTCTTCCTCAGTCAATGTAAAGTAGGGAATATGCAACAGCATGAAGAATGATCCGGCTAAATACGTGTTGGAGAGAGTACATATTGTTTTAGGAAAATGACAAATCAAATTAGAAAGCAAACTACAGTGTCTGCAGTCTGGAATGCTAGAGAAAGATCACTGCTGACAGACGCCCATACACCCAGCCTGAGGGAAGTTATTTTCTGGTAAACAATTCTTAACAACTTCTAAGCATATTTGAAAAGCAGCATCTCCCAAAAAACTGGTTTACTGTACCTCCGACTCTGCTATGAAAGCTCCAAATGTACCAACCATCTGTCTACCCCCTGACACATACATACACAACACGTAAAGCAAAATAGAAAAAAAAAAACCTCAACCTTAAAAGCTGCACTGACTGATCATCCACCATCTTCACTCAGAGCTTCAAACATTTTCTGTATCCTGTACCAACTTGACCACCCAGGAGTGTGGCATGTTTCTCGACCTTAGCTGGACCACAATTAACTCAGGCATCCACCACCACAAGTTGGCCCAGCTGCGAGTGCCAGCCTTCACCTGTCAATGAGCATTCAGCTTCCTGACCGACCAGCAGCATAAAAATCCCCCCTCAGGAGTGTCTTCGTCCCACACCCCCTCCTCTGTACAAAAATAGCACCTCAGCCTGCCACTCTGTGAAACTACGGAAGTGTGCAGATGACAGCTTGTACCAGATAGCTTAACCGCCATACACAAAAGAAAAGAGACATTATTATTTATCAGCTAAATCCTACGGTGCTTGTACTTTGTAGCTTGTAATCAGTTTTTAATCCAACACTACCAACCTTTGCCTTTTTCTTTTTTTTATGGGGGGTAGAGACATCAGTGCAATAAAGGGTTTGCGTGAAAGCCAAAATCAGTGGATCATAAGCATGCTTGAACAGGAATTTGTCCTGCTGTAGAGTTTAGTTTATTTTCCAGAGTACAAGGAAAATGTGCAACATCCTCTCTGCAACCTTTCCTACCATAACTGCATTAAAGAGATTTTATGGAAAGAGGCTTATAAGTTAAATATTCCTGTGCCTAATGAGTGGTCTTTACTCAAACTGCAGTTTACACAAGTTGGAAAACACATTCCTAAACACATCAAGTTCATCCTAAGAAATATAAAACAGACTGTGGTATTCATTTTCAAAAACAACTAAACAATTTATACTGGTGGAAGAGGAAAAGCTGAAAGATACAAGTATGTTTAGAACCACAGACGTTGTTGATAGCACAGTTAAACTGCAAAAATTGAGTCTCTAGAAAAATGTTAAAACACTAACCCTCTGAGAAAAGGTGATAAAGACACTTGAAGTAATCTGTCCATGTAGTGTAATTATTTTAAGTAACCAAACTTCTGAAATTAAGGTTATACTGTTAAATTGAACAAATTAAATAAGAAATTAACTCTTAAAAATGATAAATTTTTAAATAAAATAACCTGGACATGACAAGTTTCTTCCAGGTATACCATAACCTCAAATTTACTCACAAATTGGTCAGATTTTAAATTATTTTCATTAAGTAAATAACTTTTCTCTCTGATAAGAAATTACAGGCATTATCAAGGAGTATTGATTAGTAAATAGATTATATTTACATTAAATTTACGGCCTGAGAAATACACATGCAGCAGTGTTTACCTTTACAAATAATCAGTATTGATTTGCATTTTTTCTGACCCAGCGTTTTGTATCTTTCCATTGTTATTTAACAGTTAAACTTTGGGATGAAATTCAAGCCTGTGAGGCAGAAGTGCCAAATTCTTTGCTTTCTCTGGCAGATTCAAGTCAGACATCTCATGGGCCATTATATTATTTAAGTACTGCTTAAAGCCAAGAGAAAAATATGACCAATGATAAAAAAACAAACACTTGTAAACCTTAATCTTAAAATAAATTAAAATATTTTAGGCTGGTTTGGGGGGAATTAAATGTGTTTATTGTCCCACAATGGGGAAATTCTGTATTAGACCCATCCCCTTGGGGAGCAGTGGCTGCCATTTTGTGACGCCCGGGGAGCAGTGTGGGGTTAAGGGTTTTGCTCAGGAGCTCAGAGTGGAGGCTGTTGGGATTGAACCGCGTACTTGCAATCTTCTCAGAGCACAAGCGCACTGCTCCAATCACCAGGCCAACACTCCCCCCTAATTATTCTCATATCTCAGCTTAATAGTAGACTTTAAAACTGATATTTTTCCGCAAAAAACTATCAATCTGTCTCTCTATCACTTAAAAAATATATATAACCGGCAGTTATACTATAAGATTTTAAGGATAGAAATATATACTTCAGTATGTAATTGAAATACGAACCACAGAGAAAGAAAGCATAGCGAAAATGCATAAGAAAGATATAGTTACCGCTAACATTCTGATCCACGCACTGTAGCACAGCGTTTCCGTGTTTGACATCCTGCCTGCGGAAGCGACGTTTGCTGTTTGGGACAAATCGTGCACAGGACGATCCATCCCATGCACAGTAAGGATCTCTGGCAAGGCAGCACTCAGCACAAGCTTTCCCATAGGTCTCACAGCGATGCAGCTTCACCTGTACCATTCCTGCTGGCGAGCCCACATATAAGGCTTGCTGCGTGAATTAGAGGAGTGACGATATGAGAACAGTTTTTCCAGGCGGACAGAGGTAGCATTTTTATATATTACAAGTATGGAAGTAGTATTAACTTACCCTTTTAACAGATATATCCATTGATGTAATTGGGGTTGGTACCTGAAATAACATTTATTTATAAATAAATGTACAGGGAAAAATTTATGATTTTAAATAATTTAATATATTTTAAGGGCAACGGGCATCATTGTCTTTTCGTACCCATATTTCATACACACTTAATGTAATTTTTTTTTTTACAACAGTCTTATAGGCGATTGCATAAAATGGTTGTCAAAGTTAAATAAAAAAAGGTATGAAAAATGTTATCTCAAACACATTTTAATAGCATTTTTAATAGCAGATTTGATAAAAAAAAAAAAAAAAATTGTTATATTAATTATCATTGTATTATTGTAAAGTTAAATCTTACTTTAAAGACTTGTAGCTCCTCTAATGTGACCTCCTCTGCCTCCAGACTGTTTCCACTATGGAGTGAAATGACCTTCAAGACTGTGCCAACATCTTCAAGGAAGACAGACAAATACATTAAAACCGTGTTCATATAACTGATAAAAAAAGGTTAAAATACAAAATTTTTTCCCATATATGACCCGTTCTGAGACAGTTAACAGAGAAAAATCCTATTTTAGTTCATTTTTATATCTGATTCTGAATCATTTTTCTCATGTGACCTCAGTCTAAACCTTTATGTACTTGAATACGGTTCAACAGTTGTCACCAGAGGAACCAAAATAAGCATGGTAGACACCCTTGTTGAAGCCAGTCATATATTTTGTAACTTTTACACATCAACTTGATTAAATATAAGGACACATTTTGACAAATTATGGAGGTTTACTATCCATATTTGCTTCTGTAAACACGGCACTGTGCATTTGAGGACACATCTCTTTCATTGCATGCCGATGTACTGAGGACTATCAGCTGTTTACACTCTGGAAATAGCCTGATATTCAGATAAGTATCTGGAATGATAACAACTTAAATAAAAATAAAAAAGTCAGTTTATCACCTAAAAGTCTCTGACCCTTTGTGTTACCTGTAAAAAATTCTAAATCAGAATGACTTTATATGACATGCGCCTACCTGTACCAATGAACATGACATCATACTGCCCATCCTCTGCCTCAACTCTGTCAACCACGATTTGTTTCAGCTTGTAGGGAATGTTGGCCTTCACAAGCACAGGCTGGCGACGAGCTGGGAGCACGGATCGCCACATCAGTGGGTGGCTGCGGGCAAACTGCAGCACTGAGTCTGGGAAGTCCTTTGTGCTCCCGAACTCTTTGCCAGGTTGGTTGGTTATTTTACTGGGACACTGGCAAAATGAGAAGAAAAACAAACACATAATGAACTTAAGGAGAGAAAATTGGTTGTGTTAATCAGTTATAACTGACCGACTAAAAGCCTGCTGCCAGTGAGAAAAAGGGACATGTTAAACAAACTAAACAGATGGAAGAGATTAAAATACTTTCTTCTCTAATTCCAAATTCCCACAATTTTACACCAAACTGTCGGTGTGTTTTCCAAACAAAGTGCAGTCTAATTATGGTCTTAAATTTTACTCAGAACCTTCATTATGAGTGAAAACTGGTTAAAAGTTCATGACAACTATTATGATTTTAGGAGCTTTGTAGAAGCTCCAATGTATGCCACACTAGAAATAAAAGATTTAATGAGTAACTGGCAGAGATACTGTACCACTGGATTAATTAAAAAGAGTAAAATTGCACCAAATGCTAGCATTTGCACAAACTATCTGAGGTCTAAGTTTGCGTATAATTGCATTCCTTAAGGCGGCAGCCAGTTCTTGTCAAGCAGACCTACATTTTTATTAATCTACCATACTATTGGTTTGTATATGTTTAAAATAAGGTGTAAGAATAATGCCAAAATGGCAGATAGCCAGTGTAGTTCTTTCTACGGATGGAAAAAACCATTAAGGGTTATGCATTATTTGTCTTTTTCTAAAGTTTCACTCTATAGAGTACTGCAGGACAGGCCCATGGGAAAAAGGCAAGCTAACCAAGCAATTGCCTAAGGCCCCAAGCTGGCCTGGGCCCCCCAGACATAGGCTGACCTGGTTATGAACTGCATCTATTGACTATTTGATGTTACTCAAAGCTGCTCACTAAAGAACATCTATGCAGCGCTTAAATGGAATCCAACATGAAATGTAAATCAGTTAGACCAACACATTTTTTTCAGTATCATTTTGAATCCATGTATCATTCATTTTACAACCTGAAATAACTGTCACAGAATTTCATTACATAATATGGAGAAACGGAGCACAGTTTCTGCCATACAACATTAAATATAGTACAGTAATGATAATAAAAAAAGGTAGTAGATCCGTCATTATTTTATTTTGTTTGGGTAGATTTTAGTATCTCAGCCTGCTGGACGCTGGATGTGCCAGGCACTTCTATTGATTATAAAGGATTTAACTTTTCTGGCATATGAGCTAGCTTCTTTTGAATGGCAGTCTGATAGAGCCCTTGCAAATCAGTTTTACCATAAAGATTAATGCATGTAAGAGTTGGAATCTGCTGTAGTCTGTTAATAAGCAATGTAAGTTGCTATATATATATATATATATATATATATATATATATATATATATATATATATATATATATATATATATATGTGTGTGTGTGTGTATTTGTTTGTTTGTAGGAAAAATTGGTGAGCAGACATTTAGTGATTGTAACAGCAGAAAAACACAATGATACCATTATCGGAATACGCCTCAATGGGCATAACCCTTCAAGTAAATTTTGCTTGGGGCCCCCAGATTCCTCGAAACGGCCCTGTTGCTGCATCTGTACCTCATCTGCAGAAATTCTATCTTTTGAAAGGCATAAACAATAATTTTTTTGACCCACTACTTTCTATTTCAGTCAGATTGTGGATTCGTTCAAATTAGTTGCTTATTAGCTTTACTTGGTCAATGGTATTTATCGATTTAAACAAAAAACACTTTACAACTCAGACAAGGAGCCTCACTCCATCAAAAAGCTCTTAAAGCCTTTCTAGGGTTAAAATGTTCTCACATTAATTTCTGTTTAATAATCTATAAATTTACTTCAGCAAAATTCTGCAGAAGCTTAAAAACTGTGAGAAAATGCTCTATCTTGTTAATCTCATTTGGCCAATCTGAAGTGAGACTGATATCAACATGCTGCTCTAAACTGAATGTTTTCTTTTCCTTCTTTTTAATATCTAACTTTACTCTTTTCCTCCCATTTTGAGGCCAAGACATTCCTGTGAATCAGATAGTCCACCACCACAGAGGTGTGCACTCGGTTCTCACATTATTCATCATCTTCCTCGCTCATTCACTCTTGTAATGAAGCAGAGCAGCACATGGGACATCATTTCACGTATGCGTGCCCATGTACACACAAGTGTTTATGTTTTTAATCAAGCTGTGTAACAGCCATGTGGATGAGAGATCGACACAAGAGCAAAGACGTAAACCAGTAAAGCATAAAGTTAAAACAGCTGCACTTCCAATTACAGTAGTTTACATTACTGATAGGGATATTTTCAACACCTCATCTATAATGTTTTTATACCCCCTTTCAATCCCATAATATTTTTCTTTTTTAGTTTTCTTACATACTATGAACTTCATAAACTATTCCTAAAGTTTTAGGCTACCAGCACTTAGCTCCCTTAGAAAAACATTTTCTTAAAAGAATGAATAGCTTTGACAGAACTATAGATCCATTAAAATCTTTTAGGATTCCTTTAAACCAGTAGAAAATCCAAAGTGGCTGGGCAGATGTTTGAACGGGGAGGCTGTTAAACTTCAATGGAGTATGCTTTTATGCGTTTTAAATGCTCTTATTTGGAGCAATTCTTGCTATCTAGTGATCATTAAAAAAAAGGTTAACCAGCACCATAAAAGGCTGCTGTTGAAAACTAATAACACAGCTACATTTTTTCAGTAAAACTGTTAACTGAATTAGAAAACAACAGGAAAACCTTTGCTCTCCGTAATTGAATGCATTACACAGAATAATAAATTTCAATGAATGTCATACTTTTGAACTCAAAACTTGAAATGGCTTTAAAGTGCTTTTAATTTGGATTTATGGACATTGTGGTGCCTTCAGTTTGTTGGAGCACTGGATTGTTTTAAAACAAGCTCCAACTTTCCTCTTGGTAATCAAACAAAACATCAAAATGTTTACATTGATTGCACTGACCACTTTCTCTGAGATGCAAATCTCCCTCTCTGTAAATACAGCTTTATTTTTTACATGTTTAGATTACGGAGATTATCAACGTAAATCCAGGGCTACGTAACTCGCATACAATAGCATAAAAGCATATGTAGGGAAATAATGCTGAGAAGCCCTACCGTGTACTTTAAACATGTAGATTGATGGATAAAAGTGTTTTATTTAGTGCTATAACACTTATAAATATGAGTAAACATTATATTAAAGGAAAAATAGCTGGTAATCTATCACTTACAACTCCTGGTCTTGGATAAGGCATCCTGCCTTCATAGGCGCCCCATTGGTAGTTAGGACCCTCTTTATGGGCAAAGGGTCCATTGAAAGCTTCCCTGATGTCAGCCAAATGGTAAACACATACAGCAAAACCCTGGAAGACATTACTGTGGAAAAAGATGGAAACTGTAGATGACTTATGCATGCTGTGTGGTTACTTTCTGAGTACAATTCTACTGTACATCAGGCAAATCTGCATCAGCAAAAAACTGTGTAGAAAATTAAAAGAATACATTGCTAACGTCACATGCACAATATCAAAACATCCAGATTTAACTAAACATACAAATGCATTAAAAACATAAACTCAAAGGGAACTCTGGCAATTAGCTGAAGCAGTTTTTCCAAACTTTTGTTCATCCTTGAATTAAAATGGGACCTTTTGTAACATACAGACAATCAACAAAGGGGTGCATATTATAAAAGGGCATAAAAAATAGTTCAGTTTACAGCAGCCACTCATCCCACAGTTGTGTTTTGAAGGTGTGGGAAGTCTCATCCTCCGACAAAGCTATAATAAAGCACTGATAGATTCTCATCAGTAGTAAGATATCCACTATCCTTGCAGGAACCCTCCCTAAACCTACAAGTTGGTTAATATGACTAATCTGTTTCAAATAGTGTGGTACATGGAAAGATGTTGACAGGCATTATATGCACTACGTGTAGCTTTAGTACCAAATATTCTGGCCACCTCTAGGGGGAAGTGTAGGGCACATATCGCAAGCTTCGATATAAGTGTAAGGGTTGAATTTGAGCAGTCTCTCATTATGCCAGATCTTTTGGTCTTTCTATAAGGTCAGACTGTTTGTTCACCTGTGAAAACTTGATCCCGGCACAGTATTTTACTCTTATAAGTATACACTAAGAGCATAAATTACTACAATACATGGGTGAAGAAAGTAAAAAGTTTTCTGAGTTACCTGATGGCTATCTGATTATTGCAAAACACATTTTGCTGCAGATGTTTACCTGATAGTGCTGAAAACTGCATAGATGTCTGGGTTTCTCACATCTTTGGTCTGCAGCAGGAAAACATCCTCTGTTTCAAATTAGAAAAGTTATGTATGTAATGTGAGTTTGATTTAATTTCACCACAAAATACAATTAGCTTTCTCAAACAAAGTTTCTTGTTTATGGAAGGAAATATTCCACTGAAAGGTTTTAAAGGTGTCCATGTTTCGTTTTTGTGTCATTTAATTGTTTCTGTTTATCTCACCAAGCTGGTCGAAGTGCGTGTCGATGCCATGAGGTCCAGGTACAGAACAGACCAATCTGGCTTTTATGAACGTGCTCCACTTATTGACAAGAACTCTTTGTCCTCCAACATCATTCTAGGAGAAAAAGAACATAAACAACCAAATAAACACACTTGGGTATTTACTTCTAGACAAACATTTTTTTTTCTTTTTCCATTTTGCTGCAACACACTGGTCTTTTATTTCAAGAATGACAAATATGGACTCATATTTTAGTTATATTTCAGTGTTCTTTATGGAGGCAAAGCAGGGTTTTTAACTTCTGATTAAAAAAAACAAAAACAAAACTGATTTGTCTCACTCACACACTGTGATTAACAGGCTTTTAGAGAAAAGCTAAAGCAATATTCTCTGTTGGCCAAAATAAAACTGTTCAAACTAACTAAACAACTTTTTATTCCAAGAGTAGAGGGAAACAACAACATGTTGATAGTGTTGTGGTTGGAAGGAAGGAAGGAAGGAAGGAAGGAAGGAAGGAAGGAAGGAAGGAAGGAAGGAAGGAAGGAAGGAAGGAAGGAAGGAAGGAAGGAAGGAAGGAAGGAAGGAAGGAAGGAAGGAAGGAAGGAAGGAAGGAAGGAAGGAAGGAAGGAAGGAAGGAAGGAATTAGAAAATAAGATTTGTACTGTAGTTGACCTTCTTTTTCCATCCTTATCCAGAGCTAAAAATACCAGACTGACTTCACAGACTTTGTCACACTGTGTCGTAGCCTAAAAATAAATCTTAAATTCTTCTTTAATTTAAAGTTTGAATGTATTCCGGATGATAACGTGCTGTAAAAAAATAAAATAAATAAAGAAAGATGACGTTTACAAAGAAAGAACCAGACAGCTTGGATATTATTAATATTTTCTTCTGAGTATTTCCCCAAAGTATTTCTGCTCCATATATCAACCTTCAGCCCTGCAGTTTTGTGCATATGTGCATGAAAACATGACTATGTGTCTTTTTTTGTGTTGGCTTCTCACGGCACATATGGTTTTATAAGACAAATCAATGCGTGAAAAAATGTTGGAACACGCTTGGAGTCTGGTTTGGAAATTTGACAGCTGCATTTAATTTGGAAGAAGAAAACATATCTTATTCTGAATATAAAGACGCCTTCACATTCTTTTAGAAGAATCTAAAGACTTTAAAAAACAAATTGACCTTTCAACACAAAGTTTTCAAGTGTCAAAATAAAAAGGCTTAAGCATTGAACACATTATCCAATCCTATAATGTTACCAGTGAAGTAAATTGTGGGACTCTGTCCTTATATTTAATAATTTTTCTACTTGTAGCTCTGTATAGGGTTTCATTTGCTAATTCTTCTGAGGTTGAACTTGAACAACTGCTGTGAGAAAAAGTCTTCATATAGTAACGCTCTTTGCAAGAAACTCTTCAAATGCAGGAAACTGGAAATAAAATAATTTACTGGCTCAAAATAAGAAGCGATTATGATATCTCACCGCACAGACTCGTCCAACTCGTGAATGGATGGCCTCCTCCCTGTCCCCCCGCTCTGACGCCAACTCAGTAAAGAAGAAATAGACTTTGTCATCATCCCTATCATCATTATCTGGGATGAGGTGGGCAGCGATGAACCGAGGGTCTAAAAAAGAAAACAGTCCCAACTTAAAGAAGATAACTCATTTGAAAAAGTCATTTTGGCTTTTTATGTTCTAGTATTTATAACTGAATTTTATCCCTACTTTCTAGCTTAGCGCCATAGGCTTGCTTGAGACAATAAAGGTACAAATATTTGTCTTATTTATCTGTAAAAGGAAGAAGACGGTTTTGTCAAGACAAGCTTTCAAAGTAAAGTCAAACTTTTTACCATGAAGAAGTTTCTGGTCAGTCTCTGTTCTCATGGTGGTACGACCTCCCATGCTCCTAAAAATAACAGAGTCTCTTCCCAGAAAATCCGCTGTCAGCCCTGTGTATAACCCTCCACCTGAAGGCAGGCAGAGGTGGAGAGAGAAAGACAAACATTTAAACAGACAAAAGGTCCAAAAGAGTACAAAAACAAAACAGAAATGGTGGATATTACAAATCGACATGATGGAACATGGTGGCGGATGCAGTCAACCGGGTAGGAATCAGTAATATAATGGGCAGTAGTCGTAGTAGGAGTTTGTCATTTAACTGGTGTGTGTTCATTTCAATCGGTCTCAGTTGTGTCCTTCAGCAAGACCCTTCAAATGGCTACAATGTAGCTTACCGTTAAATGTATGGGTTAATGTACTATGAAGTTCTTTAGGATTAAGGTAGCAAAAAATATTATCTCCATTTTAAAACCAGAATTTGAACTTGTTTTTTTTTCTATCTATTACACAAAAAATATTAAATTAGGCACCTACTACCTGCTATACAAGGATGGGCCTAAAAGCTAATCTGACTGACACCCAAGAAGCTGGTTTCCGATGAGTAATGTTTTGGAAAGGCTGCCAGAGTCTTTCAAGTTCAAGATTATATAACATTCCTCTGTTGGTTCCAAATTGTCTGTAACTTGTTTTGGTAAAGTTCAATATAAATACCTCGCAGCTGTTCATTTAAGTAGTTAGTGCAATTTTTTATCTGACCACAACATTGTGTACTCAACTTTATCAGGTTAAAAGAAAATCTTTGAAAAAAAATCAAGTTTTGATAGCTATATCACTTAAGTTTAATTAAACCCACAAAAGTAAAACACAGATACAGTAAGTAACTGGGGTGAATATTAGACATGCATTCATCACTGCATGAATCGCTAATATAGGATAGCATACAGGTGTTGAAATGAACCTGCAGGGAGAGATCACAGCAACTAAGCTGGTCAGAGCATTAGAGGAAATTACAAAGGATAAAAGAATCTCATCAATATTTTAATGTTTTTGAATTAGGTTTTTAGTCAAAAGCACTCATGAAGACTGGGCTAAATTAGTTGGGAACTTTAGTCACAATAGACTAATTATAAAACCCTTTAACAGAGGGCCAGTTAGATAGGTCTGAAACTCCCTGTCAGTTTCTCCACAGTTCTACCGTCTCACTGATAAATTGACACATTAAACATCAGTTTAATGACAAAAGCAAAACAAACAAAAATACATAACTCAAGACTTTGGTCTCCACGCTCTTGAATCCTATCAGAATCAGAATTACTTTATTAATCCCTTGCAGCAAAATTATTATTTTGCAGCGCAACCATTTTCAGAGGAGAGAAAAATAGGATTGTAAGTACAAATAAGATATAAGTATAAAATAAAATAAAATAAGGATCACCGTATATATAATTGAAAGTATTTACAATTTACAATGCTGCTCAGTAACAAATTTCAATTATTGCACATGTGGATAATGAAGTAATGAAATAAATAAATAATGAGTAATAAAATGAAATGACTGTCAGTTTGATGGCTGTGGTGCAGCGTGATGAAAGGAGTCTCTGACTGAAGGCACTTCTATGGGTAACCAGCACATCATGAAGAGGATGGATGGTGACCAGCATGGATTTTATCATTGCCAACATTCTCCACTCTGACACTTCTGTCAGAGATTCCAGCTCCTCTCCAACAATGTGACTGGCCTTGCGGATTTTTTTTTAAGTCTGATATAAAAGTTTATGAGTTGATATAAAAGTTTGGAACGCTGAGTAACTTTAGCCACTTTAGGCTGCTTCTACAGCTACCTTGTTTTCACTTTTGACATTTTTTTTGCAGGTTTTATAAAATGTTTAATTGCTGAGCATGAATGCTAATGATTTAAGATATGAGGGTACTTATTTAAGGAAGTCGATGTGCAACCCTACCTCTGATCTATGATCTTTTTATTACAATAATTACCTGTCATCACCCAAACGACCTGCCAAAACTGGCCTGGAAAAGCTCACTAGTTACATAATGAATTGTCATCACTGTGTTTTTCACTGGATCTGTATTTGTTCAAATCCCAGCTGATTTAATTTTCTTTCCCAGATTCTGTTGAAACTTAATCTGGCTCAAAGATTACTTTTACACAATATTGTGGAAAAAAAAACATTAACTTTCTTTGGCACCAGCTAGACTTGTAGCAGTACACACCCTGTCTTTGCAAAACGACTAAGAAAAAGGCCCTATCCAAACTCTGCACTGTGAAGGCATCTCATCAGAAAGCAAAAAAGATGGACCACCAAATTAGTGTTTACCATAATTTGAGAGTTTAATAATGTGTTTTTGAAGAAAACATGAAGAAATAAATCAGCTGATAAGTGATGCAAATTACTTCCACATAGTTTAATAGTTTCATTATCAGCATTATTTATCCTTCAAGACAAACATTTACTTATGAAGCCCTTTCACAAACTATAGGGCAACAAAAATGTCGCAAAGTGAAAATAAAAACCAAACAACATCAAACAAAACATAAAAGATATGAAAGCAACTAGTAAAACAATAGCAGAAAAAATTTAATTAGATAAAAAGGCAAAATACAGTTTAAAGCTACAGTGTGTAATTTTCAGCGACATCTAGCGGCCAGACTGCAGACCGCAGCAACATGAACATCTCCCCCCCACCGCTTCTCCCCCCCAACAGTACGGCGAGCGTTACAGGACAAAATGTCTTCCACGATGTCTGCATCACCTACTTTCTCAAGTGATGAGGTTTGTTTACATAGATAATTTTACAGATAGTATTTCATTAGTCTGTGTAGGGTATAGATTTCATGTAGACTTAAGATAATAAATATACCCGTTATTTTTTCTACATCATTGTGACGTTTTGGTGAGCTGCTTTGCATGGTGATATAAACAGACGAAGTAATTGTAGTCATTAGTTTAACAGCGAGATTGTGTTCGCTGGAAGAATATATATTCCCCGTTTACTGAGTCCAAGTGTTGTTTGTGGCATGGGGGTTACAAGGCGAGGAAGAGGGCAGAGAGGCCGGGGTGGGCGTTCAGCCAGGGCCAGGCGAGGGAGAGGCCATCACAACCACAAGCTTTAAGTATGATTCTGTCGCTAAGCAATGATAGCATATCTAAAGTGACCAGATTTGGGTTGCCGAAAAGGAGGGCACTTGGGTGGGGGGTTTGACTTACCGTGCAGGCGACGGTTCTGCTGGACTGTACTCGACCTAAATCCCGGACAATTTTGAAATTTCCCCCGCACATTTTTTTTAGGTATGAAAAGTAGGACATGTCCGGGAAAAAGAGGTAGGTCCCCCTATCATATAAACAATTTGATGATTCAGTGAGTGAGTGCTCGTTGCTATGATGGGTCTTTGCTCACCAGCTTCGCTCATTGTAAACCAACCAATCAGCAAACATCATGAACATACCATAAAAGGAAGAAAACCTGTCATTTCATTCTAGGGCTTTAAACCAGGCTTGCATTAGGGCACATAGAACAGCAAATATGCCATTTTCAGCCCAACCAATGTTACACACCCTATTCAGAGACCTTAAGGACCAGCACCAAATACCCTATAAAATCATTCTCTGAGCCTTTTAAGGTTTTGCCTACTGAACATGCTCTCTGAAATTAAAATTCAATCTAATAATATAAAAGAGATTTCTATATTTCTCTTCCTTCTGGTGTGTTGATCTGTCTTTTACAAAGATAAACAGTAACCCTCAGTAGCACTGTAAACTATTTCAGTTATTGCAAAACTGATCATTGATGTTATATTTAAAATAAATTACCTTCTACAAAAAAGAAAAACAAATCAAGAAGAAACTTATTTTAATTAGGACAATTTTGCCAAGAGGACAATAAATCTGCTCCCATTTTTTAGTCTTCCACTGTGTAAAGGAAACATGACTTACTCACATAACAGTCTTCTTGCTGCATTTACAGCCACACTGTCAAATGTTTCTGGCTCTCCCTAAATCTCTCACTGTTTCTGCTGTTAACTTGAACAGCCGTGTGCCCCTGTGGCCACTGTATATGATAGCTGGGGTTCAAACTGCTAAATATTTGGCTCTGGTTTGAAAACTTTACTGCCAAACACAAATGATGTGGGATGACTTCTGGTGCTGGAATCACCCAGCTGTGCAGATGTATGCATGTGCACACATGGCACAGACTCACACACCATACAGGCCTACACCCTAAAGAGATCCTAGGATCATCTGTCACTGGCATAAATCACCGTTCCTTCACAAGGTGCAATAAATACTAAATGACATTTCAAGAGAAACACCCCAAAATGTTTATTCTAGTGAGGACAGGTCCAAGATGTATTTCTGTGCTTTTAAAAGACACAGTTTCTTTAGCTGCTTTTAACAGGGTTTCGTCTTGTTAACATACAATGAAGGAAGTTCTGTAGAGCTAAGAGGTACACCAACAGAACTCTAGTGACATTTAATGATGTGGCATATTTAAAATATAAATCATTTCATTTGATTTGAAAAGGAAATTTTATGAGCTCAAAAATTCCCTAATGAAATAGGCAATTAAAATCAGTAAGGCAGCTCTACTCGGCCACAAGGAGATTAATATGGAATGTTGCAACACGATACTGTAGATAAAAAACTTAGAAAGAGTTTCAGGAATCAACTGTTTAAAAGGTGCTTTCCAAGTTTTATAACTAAAGTTTAACACTTTAGATTTGATCCTTCTAACTTTCAACTCTAAGAACTATTTGTGAATTGTACTGTAAATAATCTTCATAATTATCATTTAATTTTTTTTAAGTAAACATTTTCATTATTACCTTCAACTCAATGGGTTAGAATTTTATCATTCTTGTGACCACTATCAAACACTAGTGACACTCACAATTAGGTTGTGTAAAGAGGCCCAATAGACCTTGTTTGCAATTCTAAACTTTTGCACTGCACTGAAAATAATAATGCATCCGTTTTTGGCACTTTTAGTTATTCATATTTAGTGACTTTAACACAATTGTTTCATGTTAGCAGGGTAGGACATAAAACACTTGTGTTAAAGTAACTAATAATGATTAAGTAAATGTCAAAAGCGTTTGCATTGTTTTTTTTCAGTGTGACAATCTTTGAAAGTCAGTCGCAACATGGCCTTTTACCGTTAACATGTTGTTGTTTTTTGTCCATGCAGCGCCCCTTTTTAATCCTTCAGAGACTAAGCCCATATTGTAATCTTCCACATGTCAAAATCTTCTCAACTTTAAATGTAAATATATATAAACTTATGTTTCATCCCCATGTTCTCTATTGCAACTAGGTTCTGTTACTTAAGTCAAAGCTTAATCTTTTTTAAAAATTGCTCTTTTACAATCCAAAGTCAAACAAAGCTTAAATAAGTACAGCTGAAATACCAGAATAGATCTAGTCTTTCTACGTCTATATTCTTTTCCAATAACTGATGATGAGTTCTTTAGGGTGCTTCTATTCTAGTAAAATAAACTGGTAAAATACTCAACAGATTCCTCTCAATAATCCACAGTAAAGGATAATAATCCAGAACCTTTATATGTTACTGACCCCTTTGGTTTTTTAACGAATAGAAAAATCCAGGGATCTTTACATCCACAGATTATGATGACCAACATCTGAGACAAATCAAAGGCAGGACAGATGAACAACAATTATAAGTATCTATTTTCTAACAGTTTCGTTATAACCGTAAACGCACAGAAAACCACACAAGAGGATGAAAGAGCTGTGTTGCTGATTTTATGTGCTTTGGTACCTGCTGAAAATGCATTTATTTTACCCCTAAATGCTAAGCTGGGAAATACATATGGTAAAATGAGCTGTGACATACCGCTAAACGTGCTTGCAAATGGGAAGCTGGGGTCATGTGGAACCTTCCCTCGTCCACTCTCCACATTCAAGGGGTTCATGGTGAAGACATGCTGGGGAGGAAAAGACACAAATACAAGTGTTTAAATTAAGTAAAGCAGGTTAGCCCAGAGGAGGACATTGTAATGCTGATATTTATCACAGCCTCAAAAACACCAGAAATTTAGACTAATTTAGACTTCAGATTACTGACTAGAAATATTAACTGAATCATATATTCTTCACCGCTTCCTTCATTTGTAAAAACTTTTTATTTCCAGTCTAGCGACGAGGTCAGTCCATTGGACGGCCTGAAACTGATTATATTATTTCAGCCACTGGGGAGCCAAACCCAAACCTTTTATAAGACGAGGAGGCAAGACTAATCCTTCTTTGTCTCATTGTTCAAATAAGAGCAACTTGGCATTTCTTGTAGTTTTATACAGTTTTGTTAATTTATTCGTCCTCTCATCGAACTCTTGCCTGTCTGAGAACGAAGGAGCTGTCTGAGATAAGAGGAAATTTAGGATTAGTGCAGCTGCCAGAGTTCAGACAAGTTTCCCACTCAGCTCCCAGTGCAGATCAATCCTGGGAGACCTGGAGGAAGAGGGGCCGGCAGGGTAATAAATGAAAACATATTATCAAATAAAAATCTACTGTTAAATGTTAGACTTTATAAAAATACTGGTAGATCATATTGATACTGTGGAGAGACTAAAACTGTGTTTTGAAGAGCAACAACATAAAAAGAGATTTTTAGAGACTATATATATACTGTATATATACTCCACCATAAAGAACTCTCCAAGTTTTCATTAACAATAGATTTTCAACAGATGTTTAGTTCTTCTTTAAAAAAACTAAAGACTGTGCTACTATATACCTTAAATCTGACCTTTTTAACTCTGCCAAAGTTAAATTAATCAGCAGGAATGATTAAACTTCAGGGGAGATTCTAAAGCTGAGCAGATCAACAGCCCCCTTGTTCGGAAATAATAAAAGCAGCCCACCAGAAACAGATCAAATTACCACAGAGAAACAGACCTTAACAGCTGGCCATTTAACGCCTGTTGCCTGTTATAACAGAGCAAACGAGCATGAAGCTGATTACATGCTCTGTTAAAATATTTAAGAAACCCTGTTGAACTTAAATCATACTGGGTTTATTGAATGTACTTAAATAAGCTAAATTAGTTCACCCACATCAATGTTTTATTAGTATGTTTGAAAATCAACCATCCTTTTGTAGCTATTAACATATTGCATAACAGTAGCTGGATATATAATGACTAATTGGCAGAAATGGTAGATCTGATTTAGGTTTGTTAGTTTACTGGCACAAAACAATTTTCAACCATGAATAAAAAATTTTGAAATGGATTTTATGGTGTCCAGGGTTGAGAAACGTGCTGATTTGTGTTTAGGTTAAGGTATATTTTCCTCCTTCTTGAGATTCTCAGAATGACCCTATCACCCTCGTGCTGGACAGTTGCTTCAGTTTTCTTAAGTTTGAAAGCCTCATGTTGTTCCCCAAACATTTTCCTTTTTACTATGACCATATGGCTCAATATTTATCTTGTCTTACCATTAATGTTTTCTCTAGAAGGCATTTTACTCGTCCATGTGCGCAGCTGCCAATTACATTAGCTTGAACATCCTTGGAATGGTCAATCTTCTTTTCTCTGTAATTGCTGTTTATCAGTCACAGTGAGCAGTGACTCTGGTGTTTTAGCATTTCCTTTGAAAAGCTCAGCAACAGAAACGTTTTGGTGGGTTGGATTACTTTAAAGCAGGGGTAACCAATTAAAAATCAGCGGGGTCTGAATTAAGAAAATCAACATCCAGTAAAGGACCTGAGACATTTTTAAATATAATCTGTTAAATTTAACACTGAAATAAAATGAGGTTTTTATGCATCCTTTTTATACATTGACTTTTTAAATAAAAGAAAAAGGCAAAATTTTTCCATTTTAAAATCTAGTGCGCTTTTTGAAGTAGAGAACAACAATTGTTCAGTTTGGTATATAGGCAATTTCCTTATTCACATGTTTTATAAAACACCTAAACTGGGCTTTAGGTTGCCCTGCAAGGTTTTTAGAACTGGATTTGATTGGCAACAAGGCAATTCTCAACCACATATCAAGGTGCTCATTTTTGAGCCTGGATCAATATTTATTTGTGATTATGTTCATGGTGGGGAATCCTGCTTCACAGCAGTAGGTTGAGCCAAACATACTCTAAATTTGCAGGGTCATCTTTGAGCAGCTCATTGGCTAAATTGTATCACGTGTAGCCTGGTCCCGGACGCTCCAGAGGGATTTACCATATTAACAGGAGAAGTGACGCAAGTGAAGTTAGACACTGTCGCCAGACAACATGCGGTAATTATAAATGTTTTAAATCAGGTTGGGCCCGGATTAACCAGCAGGTGGGTTGAGATCCGGACCCCGGTCTGCTAATCCGTGACCTCTGCTTTAAAGTAACCAGTTTAATTTTTCCAACTGTTACTGTACTTCTGATGTTTAAAGCTTAGAACTGATTAGAAAGGGCAACTTTAGGCTTCTGGGATGGTATCAGTATCACCATTGATAAAGATTTATTCACTGCAGTTAGGACAGTTAAGAATAAACTCTTCATCAAGAAACCAAATAATTTAAACAGCTTTGCTGTTACTGCTGGCTAAACAAAGACATTTTAAGTAGATGAAAGACCCTTTTTCTTGCCTTCAAATTTGAATGTAAGAAATGTGGGATCTAAACTGGAAAAGAACAGTTCAAATGCTGCATTTGAAGAATATTAATGACCTGGACCCTAAGAAATGTTGGTGCCGCTTAAGTTATACATCTCTTCACTCAAGTAAAATGCTGGAAAAATTTGGAAAATGTCATCCTTGCTACAAAAGCTTTGCTTGTTAATAAACGAAGGATGAAGCACAAAGAGCAAAGCAGTAGTTTATGATTTCACTGAGTTATGAAATTACAAGGTGAAAAAATCTTTATTCCTGCATTCCAAACACATTGAAATGCAGCTTTTTTTAAACATTTCTTCCTCTTTTTATAAAATGCCTCAACATAAAGCAGATATAAATCATTGACTGGGGGTTTTCATTTTAAATGTGTAAATTATGGTTCTATTTGCAGTGAATTATGTAGCGTTTCAGTGCTTAATAAAGTAGTCAGAAAATAAAATCTCTACACCAGGGCCAGGTGCAAAATCCAATATGTCCTCGCATGTCAGGCGCTGCTTTCCCAATGCACCTCATTAGTAAATACCAACATAACTTCTTTATGCTGAACAGGGTTTGTCAATGGAAATAAATCTTTGCTTACATCTTTTGTTCAGACTCCAAAGTTAATAAAATACTGGAGGGGGTTCCTTTTTAACTTAACTCACTGGTTGGTCAAACTGACTTAATGATTTCTGTCCCAATCCTCAGAAAGAGCGACTTTTAGGTCAGGAACGGGTCAGACTGAATAAAAAGCCTTTTGTTTTCAGTTTTTCTTTTTTTCATTTCAATGCCAAAAGAGTACCAGGCTGTCTGTGACAGAAAGTTTTCGGCACGATCAAACGGGATATTACTTCCAGAATAAAAGTGGGTATGAGAGGCGACAGGACCAACTATAAAACCTTGACTTTGATACAAACCCATGTGACAAATTAAAGTGTCCTGGCCCTGAACTCTGTTTCACAGTCCATGTTCCTCTAACAAACAATGGAGTATTGTTACATGGTGGGCGAGTCCTTTGCTGAGCAGAGATCACAGGGGAGATGATGACATTCAAGTCAGCTGCTTAAAAAAACTTCTCACAAATGGCGAACAACTCACGCATCAAAAAAGTTTTAAAAGTCCATCAACACACACTCATTAGTGAAACAACAGCGAGTGTGTCGAGGAACACGAATACAGAACCAGTGAAAAGTTTGAACAGGTCCTCTTTCATTCGTGTCCAAACTTTTGATTATTATTTTAAATCCAGTTGCTTCAGGGCAGACATATTTGCTGGCACATTCAGGATATTAAACGTGTTCCTTTGAGCCACATATACGCTTTTAAATGTACGTCAAGAGGTTTGAATTACTTTTACAGGTGAACATACATGGTTCACCATCACTCGGAATGGTGAAACACTAGCACACAATTATCAATTTCCTGTTGTACTTTTTAAGAGATTTAATACCCTTTGAGATTTTTCATATATTTTCCAATTTCACTCATAAACATCAGTGTCTTTCTTTGACACAAAGAGAGACATTATTTTCAAGAAACAGAATAATTACACATAGCTTCGACAGTTTAAATTAAAATCCCACAAGTTTTGTTTACATTTGTTTTCAATACCCTTTCAGCTGATACCACTATGACATTTAGTCATACATAAGACCATGAAAATTTATGCCTGTAAGAACATTCAAAGGGGTGGTGTTCATGAAAACATTCATTAAATATTAAACATTTATACTACATTTAAAAAGAGTAAGTTGTACATGGCAAAAAAAAGAAAGAAAAATAGTAATACGATATTATTATTAATATCTTACTATTATTAAAACTGGACATATAAAATGCTGGTAGAAATCTACACCAAAACACATTAAAACACACCTTTCAGATCTTCATTAGCTTTATATTTAGAAACCATGTATTACATATTTTTTTACATAATTATTTCTAACTTTGTTGGTCTGTCACAGGAAATCAAAGAAAACAAATGATCAGTGATAAAATGTGGAAAGATTTGAGATGCAGTCATTCTATTCTTTTTTTTTAAATACCAAAATGGCTCTTATAATAGGGGTTTTCTCTCCATCTGCATTTCTCATTACAAGCTTCTTGAATGTCAGCTGTTCTATGATCTCTGTATGTTTTTACTTTGCTCAATTGTGCATCCCAGACGAGCAAGAGTCCATTTTTCTAAGCAATGCAGTGTGTGAATATCTATGTCTGAATATGTTTTCTCATCATGTTTGGCGGGACTAAAGCAGCTCATTAGACTGTCAGAGTCACTCGGGCTAAACTCTGTCAAAACAAATACACACAAGTTCTGTGATACGGAGAAGGAAACATCCAGACCTC